CATGTCAATGTTTATACCAGCTCAATTCACAATAGCTAAACTATGGAACCAACCTAGTTGTCCCTCAATAGATGAATGGATAAAGAAAATGTGGTATATGTATTCAATGGAATATTACTCAACTTTAAATAAGAGAAAAATTATGGCATTTGCCAGTAAATGGTTGGAGTTGGAGAATTATCATGCTAAGCGAAATAATCCAACCCCACAAAACCAAAGGCCAAATGTTTTCTTTAAATGTGGAATCTAATCCACAATAAGGTGGCGGGGAGGGGCACTAGGGAAGAATAGCATTACCTTAGATTAGGTAGAGGAAAGTGATGGGAAGRGAGRGGAGGAGATGTGGGGATAGGAAATTAGTAGAATGAAACAGATATTATTACTTTATGTATATATCTGATCATGTGACCAGTATGATTCTRTAACATGTACACTCAGAAAAAGGAGAAATTATATTCTATCCATGTATGATACATCAAAGTGCATAAATATTTATTCTACTGTCATGTATAACTAATTAAAACAAACTTTTTAAAAAGTCAATCTCCACATTTCTAATTCTAAATTTACCTAAAATAATTTTGTGCAGTCTTCTCAGTTTTTCTACATTTCAAAGAATTATTTTGGGCTGTGGGTGTAGGTCAGTGGCAGAGTGCATGCTTAGCAAGTGCAAAGCCCTAGATTCAATCCCACATAACAGTAAACATCAAAAAAAAATTTTTGTTTTTTTTAATTTTGTTAGTTGTACATGKACACAATGTCTTTGTTTTTTCATTTATTTATTTTTATGTGGTGCTGAGGATSGAACCCAGTGCCTCACACATGCTAGGCAAGCGCTCTACCCCTGAGCCACAACCCCAGCCCCCCCCCAAAATGGTTTTAATTGTATGATTATATTTTAGTAGTGATGGTTGTGTCAGACTTTAGGGAGAACACTTTCCTGATAAAAAAGATTATAAACTAGGTTTTGAGGAAAAATATAACTTTCATGATGTTTYAAAGGTTTTTTYCCCTGCTTTTTTATAACTTAAATGTTTATCAGAAAATGTTTTTATAGTAATTGAAATATATGCCTAGTGAGATTAATATCTTTTATTTGGTGTGGGTAACATTTAGAAGAAGATGAAGAAGTACAGTGATAAAATTACTTTACACATCT